CCGAGCGCAGCGAACTCTGTCCAAGAGTTTGAACGAATTCAATTTCGAATGCATCGGTTCGACGCAGACCGACGACGAGCAGGTGATAGCAGATAGCCTTAAGCAGTTTAGTAAGCTCATATCGGCGATAGAGGAAGAGCGCGATAATATGGTGAGTATCTGCGGTACGCCTCTTATATCAACACCCTCTGCTTCCTTTCCGGGCATCAATTTGCTGTCGAATAAGCCTGTTGAAAGTCTACCAATAAGGTGTAGAGCGCAGTAAACATTTACCGAACGAGTTGCATCATCACATGATATGTTTCGTTTTTCCCTTTCCTGTTTCTCGCATGTCGGCTTTTTCCATCCATCAGCTGGACCGAGCACACGACCAGATCGTTGGACCGCTGGAAGAGTTTCGCAAGTGTCATATAGGGGGTGTGAAGGAGAATAAGAAAAAGTACGACAAAAAGACTGCTAAGTTTTGCCAGGCGCAAGAACGGTTCCTCAATATGTCCTCCAAAAAGCCAGGAGCTGCAGTGGTGGAGGTAAGTTGATTGAATTCAGTTCATTATATCTCAATCATGCAACAAATAAGTTGGATAGTTTGAATCAACCTACAAAGAATCACACATTGGTGAAAGTTTCATATCCAAAATCCGGAACCATTCCGGAACCATTCCGGAAATATTCCGATATCCATATTATATTAAATTCAAAATAGCGATATTTGTTATGGAAGATGTATGAACACACTTCGGAATACTGAAACAGGTTTTGGGGAGAATTCCTTTATATCACTAAATCATGAAGTTTGATATGTCACATGGCATATTCTAGTGATAAAAAAGGAATTGTCCCCAAGAGGCTCTGGTGTAACCTGTTACATATGTTCCAGAGCGGCCATATCAGTTTATACGGAGATCAGACTATATCTATCGGCTTGATCTTGCAAAACCATGAAGTTTGATATATCGCACGGCATATTTTGGTGATAAAAAAGAATTGTCCCCAAAGAAGCGCCGGCGGAACCTGTTTCGATATTTCGGTTTGGTGATCACTTCCAAATAAGGTTCACATGGTTATATTTAATTGTTTTCATGAAAATATCGCTATTCCAAACGCAATATAATAAAAAGCAAACAATAACTTTTTTTCACATCCAGCACTGCCGTGATCCCACTGGATACCGGAATATTTCCGGATCGGTTCCGAATTTTGGATGAACCACTTGCTGATCCTTTGCAGTTTGTGATCTTCTGGAGGTTCTTTAAAAATAATCGGATGAAAGCTGATGCCAGCAAATGTGTTGAGGGTTGGGACGTAAAAGTTAAAGCAAAATAATCACTTCGCTTTTGAAACATAACTAGCAAATTGCCTCAAAGCGAATGTAGTTTTAGATTTTGGTTCCATTTTCATTACAAATTTCGAATATATAATAACCTCAATACCCTCAGCGGCGCCGGTGTACAGTGGTCCAGAATGCAGATTTAGGTGGAATGATATGTTTTGAGTCTGAAATTGAAACTTTAGACTAAAAGTCTCTTCTACAAAGTTGTTCCTTATAGTTATGCCCTCATTTTTATGACAATGAATTCTAGGGTGGTTCTTATTATCATTAAAATCAAAAATCTAACTTTTTTGTTTGAAAAAATTAAGGTGTACATTCTCCGGCAAAGTTATAGCTGAGCTAATTTCAAGCACATTGTAGAAAGCAACTTTTTTGTATCTCTTAAAATCACCTTTGATGAGAAATTTAAAATAAGAAAACTAGAGCAAAATAACTGTTTTTTTAGCGCCACCCTAACTCAATTCAAGAAAATAGCTCTAAATCGGTCAATTTAAGAGATACATAAAAGTTGTTTTCTACAAGGTTGCTTGAAATTAGCTCAGCTATAACTTTGCCGAAGAATGTATACCTTAATAAAAGTTAGATTTTTGATTTTAATGATAATAAGAACCACCCTAGAATTCATTGTCATAAAAATAAGGGCCTAACTATAAAGAACAACTTTGTAGAAGAGACTTTTAGTCTAAAGTTTCAATTTCAGGCTCAAAACATATCATTCCACCTAAATCTGCATTCCGGACCACTGTGGTGGTATAGTGGTAAGCGTGATTACCTCTCACCCCAGCAGGCCTGGGTTCAATCCCAGTCGGCGCCGCCGGGATGTTCTGAGGCATAACATCTCTGATTACGCCTTCCTTCGGAAGGGAAGTAAAGCCGTTGGTCCCCGGTTCATGAGTTGATGGGTCGATATGTAGGGTCCAGGTGTGGGAGCTGCCTCCATGGCATTGGTAGCATTGGTGCTCAGCACGAAAAACAAAATCGACGGAAAACAAATCAAGGAAAAAAAATCTCAATAACCCTATAGAACCCAATTATTAATAACAATAAATTCACATTAGATTTTATAAATTTAGTCACTTCACCATGGAAAATAATTATAATTAGTTTTGGTAAAAGACGAATGTTTTGTTCAAAATTCTGTTTCAATTTTTTTTACTGCACATATAACAAAACTTTGTGCAGTAAAAAAAAAATTTGATGGAAAGTATTTTTTGACAATCTTTCACTAGCAACCAAAAATATCCATTGGTTTTGCCCAGATGATGTACTGTTTAAAGAAAAATTGAAGAACAGAATATTTTTAACGATGGGTCCAATCTTTAGATACATAGGCCAACATGAAAGCCATTTCCCCTACTTTGGAATCACATTTTAGAACCATGCATAAATGACGTATCATTTAAAGGGGGAGAGGAGTATTCAAAAGTTGTGAGCGTCTATGTTCTAGGTATAGTACAATACAATACGAAAGTGTGCGTTGGGTCGAAAACTGACCAACGTATGCCCCTTAAGGGAGCATCGAAAAAGGTTTTCCTTTTCCATCTGTTAAAAAAAAAATCTGACGTGCAACTATTGAGATTTATTAAATTTCTTCTGATGTAGATGACGCTCTAGTTCAATTCAATTTAATGCATTGACCATGCGTGCACCCTTCATTTAAATCGGATCCTGCGGATTGTGTGTATCCTAGTGTCGAAATAACAAATTGCACTGCCACGCATATTCTTCCGCTACATTGATGTCATCATCAGGCACTTGCACATTGGCAACTCTCGTTTTATTTCGTTAGATACTGTCAACTCGATATTGATGTCAAAGAGATCAAGCTCCTACTGTCTTTTTGAGAGCATAAGAGAATATCCTTACCAGCCTTGCTCTCGCGTATTAGGAATTCATGAGAGGGAGATTTTAATGTGGCTCGTGATGAAATCGCATGCGCCAATTTTACTCTACCATTTTGAAGTCTACCGTATGATTTCTTCTGAATCATTCATGATACGATACGTAGGCGAGATCTATGTTTTCCGTGTGTAATATCTACTGTGTTGCTCGTGCCTGTTTGTGACGAATGAACCCTGTTTCTAAACTGTACGCCGCACTGTTTGTGCGGGTGTGAGTTTGCTACAGAAAACCCTCAATTTAATTTCCCCATAGCTTTTCCTACTACGTTACTTTTTTTTTCTCAGATGATTTCCAACAACTATAAACAGTCGAGATTATTATAGCATGGTTAATAGGGTCCGTTCTATAAGAACCGGCATTAACGAACATACGTACCTTATTAGATTTTAGCGAATTGGAACCCATCTCTGATTTTAGGATGCCTAATTTAAAGAAATAACATCCGGCTAGCTTTAGAAAAGTTGTTAAGTAAAAAAGTGCCCACCTTTTAAAATCCGAAGCACCCATAAAAGTGGTAATTTCGTTAAACTGATCCTAGAGCTCTGCGATTTTTCCGAAAACATTTGTATCGTAAAGTGCTATAATTCTGCGCAGTTTTAAAATTTCCAAAAGAAATTACGAATTAAATATAAGGTTCATACTTCCACAGTAATGGCAATATTATGCGTGCCATGTATTGAGCTGACGAGCTCTTTAAATATTGTGAGATTATTCACCACATGTAAAATTGTGTCTGAATGCGAGGTTGAGAGCAACCCGGTACTCAAATAATGCAATGCGGAAATCTTTCTTGTTTGTAGTGAGTCTTAGTGAGGTTGATTGCTGATTAGTTTTGATGGCTTGAGATTCGTAGCCATTGCTGTTTGCGAATTGAAGATAATCAGAGCGTATTCATGATAATTATTGGTGAGATTTGATTTTTGGCCACAATTACTTTCTTTCATTACACATAATAAATGACAAAAAATCGTTTCTTTCAGTCAAAATTCATATCACAAAAATCTTCGAATTTTTCTTTTGGTAGTTCAATTAATATATTTAAAGGAAAAAAATGTTCGTTTATTCTTTTGGTTTGCCAAATCCGAACTGCCGTGCCTTTCGCTTAACCCCTTCCATTAAATTTTGCATAGTGGTCTCATCGACCTTATTCGCCGCCGAACGCCAGTTAGATTTAAACTGCTGCTCGTTTTCCATGGATTTATTAGTTTTTTGAGATTCCGTTTGACCAAGGCCCAATACCGTTCGATTGAGCGGAGTTCTGGGCTGTTGGGAGGGTTGTGATCTTTGGGTACCACAACCACGTTGTTCGCATCGTACCACTCGATTGCCTTTTTCCCATAGTGGCAGCTCGCCAAGTCCGGCCAGAACATCACAGGTATATTATGTTGTTTTAGGAATGGTAGCAGCCGCTCTTCCAGGTACTCCTGGACGTAGATCTCTTGATTGATAGTTCCCGTAGTAATGAAAATGCCGCTTTTTAGATCACACGTGCATATGGCCTGCCAGACGAAATTTTAGATATTTTTTCGGGAACTTCGATAGTTTGATGATTTTGAAAATTTCAGCCACCTTCCCTTTTCCTGATGCGGTATAAAACTCCTGTCCTGGAAGTTGCTTGAAATCCACCTTCACATAAGTTTCGTCGTCCAACTTGTTTTGTTTGTAATCTCGGTTCGCCACCTTCACCTTCTTAAACGTCGACAACCCGGCTCGTTTCTTGGCCCAATGCACAGTAGTATGGGAGATGGAGGCGAACCAGCCCAAGGCTGAAAGCCTCCCTAATAAAGATAAATAATAATAATAGTATGGGAGACATTGAGCTTGCCAGCGACGTCCCGGATGGAGAGGTTAGGATTCCGCTTATATTTCACCGCCACCTTATTCGTCGTCGCTGCCGCGTCCGGATTACGATTGCCGCCGCTTCCAGGCTTTCTGACGGTCGACTGACGCTCCCCGAACACTTTTAAAACGTTTGTCATGGTCGATTTTGACTACATCCAGCAATTTTGCCAACTTGGCGTGTGAGAACGTCGGATTTTCTTGCTGCGAGCAAACGGTGAATGTAGTCTAGGATCATAGAATTCAATCGGAAAAGAGCTGAGTAACATTAAATTTGTGTGAAATGGCGTTAATAAAATAAGAAAGCTACAAAACAATTTGCTTAAAAAGAATAATCAGGTATTAGAACACATTGTGCTGTAAGTTTTAGAATTTATGTCTCAAGCGAGCTCTCTGTTTCGGTTTTTAGTATGTATATAGTCAATATCCGATAATCTTTTTGGCGTATTGCCAGATGATACACCTCTATCTGCAAGGTTAAGCTATCCCCTACCTGAGGATGGGGTTAGTTTGTGTAAAACCAGGCTGAGGCTGATTTCGACAAGATGTTTGACATATTATATGATGCCACAACGCCGCCGCCACAACAATGGGCGCCTGACCTAAGGAAGGTAAGAATTTCCTACATCAAAAAATCTTCCGGAAATGCTACGTTAAAAATCATGGAAAAGTTCACTCTACTTCATTATTTTCTTCGTGAATCTAAACGAAAGTCACGCAAGGTCTGCAATCTGTGGTTTTCGCTGCTGCGTCTGATTGTCCAGGTGCGTTACACACAGAGATTGAACTTTTATTATAATTAATTATTATATTATAATTATTAATAACTTTTTATCATACTCTAGGAATTATCTTTCTATTTGTTAGCGTTTATTAAATTGCAGACAAAGACTAATCTTTAAGCGGTTTATAAAGCTCTTTGTTGAACATTTTTGTCCGGCAGACTCATTGACACAGCGGGTTCGCCTCAATTATCGATGGTCAGAAAACCGCTCACTTTCTGTACTGTGCGGGTGAACCTAGTCATTTTCCACCCTCCGATGTATTGCAATCACCGTCCGTAGAGCAATGAACAACCACCATGAATTCAACAAACGCGAGGACGACGACGACGACGACGACTACCACGACACCCAGTGCAAGGATGTGTGAAGGATCATCATAAATATTCTTGGTTTTTCACTTTCAACACACATCCTAATTTTTTCCTCGCGTGCGAAGATTTTTCATCCGCTTGAAAAGTGATTTTCCACTTCGGTCCCGAATTGTATGTTGTTTTTTCGCTTATTCTCGCGAACGGTTGGAAAATTTTAAGCAAATTACAATCAACAGAGTCGTTAGCGGGTGAATGAAAAGTGTTTTCGGTAACGCATTATTCGGAACAGGAAAGGATATCGTGCAAAACGGTGCTTCGCAGTGTTTGATGGTGGAAAATTGTAACGCAGTTGTCCTTACCGAACGATTTGTGGTAAAGGCAGCATCATTGGAATATGTTTGCCTCGAATCAAAGCCAATAGATTGCGTTATTTATGAGTAAAAGTGACATTGAAGGAAAATGTTGGGCGAATCAGGAATTACACCTACGGGTGTCAAATAGGAAGTCGATTTCATGCAAGGTGCTACAAATTGGTGTAAGAAGTGATTTAATTTTATGATAAGGATTTTTCATCGGGCTGTGTAAAAAATTGTAGGGAAATGATATCGAATGCAAAATTTTCCAAACGATTTACCATAGTCTTCATATTGTCCATCTTCCATTGATAAATGCTAAAGTTGAAGCAAATAATGATGTGTGAGTGTGAAACAAGGAGTTTTCCCTCGTCAAAATTAGTGTGCGTGTTTTTATTGGTCAATGAAGTTCGATAGGAGCAGAGGGCGGCAAAGACACACTCACGCGATCGTGGGGCCTCTGAGGATAAAGTGCCAATCAAAGGCGTGAATATGGCAAACTACAAGTTTAGCTGTGATACGACTCCTGTTGGGTATATTATGTAACCCTATTAGGCAGGTGGTAAAATTAGACACCCATCTTAAAACAGAATGACATCGGTGACAGTGGCTCGTAGATGGTTGGCGTGACTTTTCCCGATGACATCATACCTGGCGTGTGTTTAGTTCCGTGCATCGGTATGAGTGTTGGCATTTGTATGCGAATATGGATAAAATGGCAAAGAACATCTACTGAAGAAGAAACAACCACTATACAGCTGTTCTTCGTTAAGCAAGACAGAATGAAGAAAATCCTATTGTGGGATATGATACAGTATCGTCTGGTGCTGCTGCTGTCCATAATCATTATGGCCTAACCTTGAAACAAAAAAGACACAGTGGCTTCTTCAACGATTGTGTTGGCCTGCAAATCTTGCCGCTTCCATGACATCATCTCGCAGTCAGAGACCCCATTATTTCATAATAACAAGTTGTTAAAACAATTACCGTTTGGAAGATGCTCTATTGTTGTGTTTCCCCTCCCAGAAACGCAGTCCACGAGCTGTAAGTTTTTCTCCAAAGCGTACTGGTAAATAACAAGCGAATTACAATAGTGCAACGTTTTTCTCACTTTGAAACTTTCGCTTTCGGAATTTAGACCCGGTTGGTCGGTACGAGCCGCTCGCTCAGTCAGTACTCGAAAGGCGGATTTTGAACTTGCTGGTATGCCACAAAACAAAAACAATGAATGAATCTCTGTCGCAAACCGAGCCGAATTGTTTAACTCCAATATTTTTTGGCTTCGTACATTGGCATGATGTGCGATGAAATTACCTTTGTTCACCTGTCATTTTGGGTTAAATAACTATTTAACAGCACAGTACTAGTTTCTGAATGGAATGGAATTCAATTACTTTTTTATTTTTGTCAATTACGGCAATCCCAAGTAGCATTTCTTGTTTTATTGCACTCTATTAGTGGTTATTGAGATCAATTTCATAAAACCGCCAATAAAATTAATAGCTCCAGCACAACCTTTTGATAACCGCTATAAGATCGTCATACAGCTTAGTGGACCACTCTTGATAAGGTTTATAAAGCATGTTTGAGAATCACAATAAAGCTGTCTTAAAACCTTTTGTCAGGAAGCCTCATACTCTACAAAAGGTTCTCATAGCCTCTATAAGAGTAATATTGTATCCAAGCAGTTTTATTACGCTTTGGTGAAAATCAGTTATAAAGCCAATTGAATTTTTATTGGCTTCAAAGCAACCGCCATAAATTAGTTTGTTGCTGTTCTGTTCTGTTGAAACTTTTTTTCCAAATGGAAATCTTTAGCGGTAAAAATAGGTTTGAGTGTTGGTGTCAAGATCACCATGCCATCAATTTTGTTTCATGGCGACATTAGTGAAAATTTTAAATAAAATATATGACTTTTTAGAAGTTCCAAAACATATGCGCTTGAAATGTTATCGTGTATATTGAGATAATATGAGCGTTAAATAAATGCGCCTCCAAAATAATTCAAGTTAACAAAAAAGATTGTTTCAGAAATTTAAATGAATTTGATGGAATTACCTTAATTTTACAGAAAATTGATCTCAATACATAAATTCATACCAATGCACACTGGAAATCATTTCGGATCTCTTATTTAGCCATTATTTTATTGATTTTATTCCAAGGCTAATGGCATTTTCATAATGACAATATGGCGACAGAGGACAGCAGGCAAGAAAAACACCAAGCGCAATTTCTTAAAATGTCTAATGCTTACATTGCACACTGGGTCAGGAATGCAACCTAGCGGATCAAAATTAATAACTCTGAAACGAAGCATTTCCGCGACTTGGTGTTTTCGGCAAAATTTCTCGTCATAATAAGGACCATCTATTGACATAAACAAATAGTTCAAAACTATTCCGCAAAGATGGTGCCACAATCTAACTTCTTTCTCTGACGTTTTGGAGACTTGATGTTTTGGGCAAAGTTGTTTATCTTGACAAAATGAACAGCTCTTTCAAAGACGTTAAATTTCCACTGTCTACTGGTTCCAAGTTATATGGAGTTAAAAAAAAATGTTGAAAATATGGTTTGGTTTTTTTGCTTACAGCTTTATAATGTTTTATTATTCTCTTATGCAAATACATTAAATAAATAGCTTTTGTGAAGAAACATACTGGATTAAGCTTCAAATTTCAAAGATATTGTTGAAAAAACGAGAAAAAAAACACAATTTTTGAACATTAATATCTCCCAAAGCGCAAAAAATCGCAACCTGACATTTTCAGCAAAAATTAAGCAATACTCGATAAACAAAATATCAAAATTTGCTGTGAAATAGCTTTTTTTAATGCATTGAATTTGTGTTTCGAAGACTTCACGACTTTGTCAAAGTTGGTTATCTTGATAAAATAAACAACTTTTCTAAATACGTTAAAACTTCACAGCCTACTGTTTTCGAGTTATGTGAAATTACAGAAAAAATGTGAATATAAGTGTTTTAATTTTAAATATATTGTTTAAATGAATATACCTCGAAAACAGTAGGCTGTGAAGTTTTAACGTCTGAAGAAGAGTTGTTTATTTTATCAAGATAAACAATTTTGCCAAAGTCGTCAAGTCTTCAAAACGCCATTTCAATGCATTAAAAAAGTTATAGAAAAAAATAATGTTCCATTAAGTCGTCAAGTCTACAAAACACCAAAATATACCTCTCTCAAATTTTGATATTTTGTTTATCGAGTATTGCTTATTTTTTGCTGAAAATGTCAGGTTGCGATTTTCTGCGCTTTAGGAGATATTAATGTTCAAAAATTGTTTTTTTTTTCTGGAACCAGTAGACTGTGGAAATTTAACGTCTTTGAAAGAGCTGTTCATTTTGTCAAGATAAACAACTTTGCCGAAGACATCAAGTTTCCAAAACGTCAGAGAAAGAAGTTAGATTGTAACACCATCTTTGCGGAAGAGTTTTGAACTATTTGTTTATGTCAATAGATGGTCCTTATTATGACGAGAAATTTTGCCGATGACACCAAGTCGCGGAAATGCTTCGTTTCGGAGTTATTAATTTTGATCCGCTAGGTTGCATTCCTGGCCCAGTGTGCATAGGATGAAAGCAGAACAGAAAAGCATAATGCATGATTTTATTACGAGAACTATTTTCTTTTTACAAGAGCAATTCAAGCTGAACTTTGCATTAGGTCCTAAGTAACATCGATTCTCTTCGTCGACTTTCTCTTTCGTTGATAACTTATTCACAGAACCGTTTCTTGATGTGTTTGTCGTATTGGATGCTAGATAAAAGCTTCTTTTATCGATTTATGTGCTGAAAATACCTGGGAATGTCTTTACATGACCGTGGGGATGCAAAGAGAAAGTTGACGAAGCGAATCTGTCAATATTACTTAGGACCTAATGCAATGTTCAGCTTGAATTCATTTTTTTATTTGAGGGCAAATGTATATTCCTATTCTACGGGTGCAACCGATGAATTTTACAAACATTTAGAAAAGTTTTGAATGGTAAATTAACCTTTATGAAAAGTTATGCGTGATTTCAACCTTTTTGCCCTAGGACTGTCACCATTTCGACCAAGATTCGACCGTGTCACCCCATGTATATGCGAGCGAGACGTATACACGAAATGTTTTCATGCTCATGCTAACAATTTTGTTGATTTTCTTTGCGCTCCGCTTGGAAGTACCGGAAAGTTTTGATTCTTTTCTATGTTGTAAAAATAAACCACCTATTTACATTTCTGACCAGTCGCAACTGAATGCTTATAATTTTTTTTAAATAACTGTTTCATGGCCAACTAGTTTTATTGCGCTTATTTATAAAGCAACGAAAGGATTAATTTTTTGGTTTTATAAGGGCAATTTATATTACTTTTTTGTATACTTCAAAGCAATCATAAAACCTTTCATAAGTGAAAATAGCATAAGCATCAGTTGGTTTTTTAATTAGCTTTATAGGGGTTTTGTAGATAGCTATAAGAATGTTTCATGACTTGCATTGTATATGACCGTCATAAAGCTGTAGGTAATGGTTGCAGCTGCAATAAAACCTTTATAAATTTGGAATATAGCCAAGCAGCTCTAGATTTGTTACTTGGGATGGTTAGTATGTTACAATCGATCAGATTCAGATCTTAGACAGTAACACGTTTGAATTGAATAAACAGTTCTGATTTGATTAGTTATCAAGTGGCATGTTACAAAAGCTGTTCTGTCTTTCTTTTGAATCCGATTAACAATTTAGTGGTGATCGGTTGGTGCGGTTCGGTATGTGTGATGAGTTATGATTTTGTTTTTGTTGAAGCATGATTAATTTTGAGGGAGAAAATAGATGCCGCGATCGCGATAGAACACACATGCTTGTTAGTACATGACCAAGAAGATTTAGTTTTGTTTGGAAAAGTTGACTAATTCTAACTGCTCTCTCGTGGCTTCATGTTTTCGGGATTAAATAAAAATCGCGATGGGACTGATGTGTTATCACAAAAATAGCAGAATTCAATGTAATGGCGCGAATTATTTCAAGGAATAATTATCACTATTTTATATTTATCGTGTATTAGCAGTGATGCCCGAGCTTTTTTTTTTGGATGCATCCAGTCCGTAAACAGTTAAAATTTGAAATCTTCTGGTTTTTAGAATTCATCCAGTTTTATAACCAGTACAGAATGACTTAGATGCTT